TATATAATTATAGCTTCTTAAATTAATAGAAATAAATGTTTGCTACGAAAAAATGTTCGCACGTAAATATGCGTCATATATTTGTTTCCTACACACACAAGCTTACTGTGAATTAGAATCAAACCAAATTATAAGAATCTATCAATTGTAATAAATTAGAAAATGATACGAATTACAGAAGTTAAACGAATCCCCATGAAAAGACGCGTATTTATGTACGAATGAAAGAGACCGAAAGTCAAAGCAACTAAAAAAATCATATAAGTTTTTCATTGCTTCCTTTTAGATAAAGCAAACAGCGCTTACCTTAAACTCGGCATACTCTTCCCTTTGATTAGGTTTGTAGGATGTTTCATGTAGTCAACGTCCTTCGCCTCGAAAATTTTTGAGCTGGTCGAAGTTCGCCTCGTCAGATGATCATCTCCGGTATCGAGACTTCTGTGACATTCCTAAGAATAAATGTTAAAAAATATATATATGCATATATATAATTATTAGTTAAATATCTTGTAGTTTAACTATATACAAATCTCACGAGCCAAATTAGAAATAATCAAATTATAATAGCATTTTTTTAAAAATCTGATTATAATTTATACAAATATGTATATATAATGATAATTCATTATTTTTCTATTATTACTTTTATCAAGCATCTAAAGTTTATTATTTACCTGCTCGAACAACATCTTGGGCTCATCCTGGCCAATCTTTTCAAGTGCCTTATCTGACTTCGACAGCAGTTTTGTTTCCACGAAAGCCTTGAGATCGGCCATCTTCATGCGCTTTTTCGTCTTTTCGCTGGCGCGTCTTGTATGGCTTGATTCGCTCTCGGGACCTTTGCGTGTGGTAAAGCGTGTGAGTCTGAAAATGTGGCCAAGTCTACACAGAAGAAAAAAAAGAATACGTCTCGATAGTAGAGATCGACATGAACCCGTACCCGTTAGAAGAGAGGTATCACGAGTGTCGGGCACCTCTATAAAATCCTTTAACACATCCTTCTTTTTACTTTCGGGGCTTTGATAAATCGACACCTCAATTTTCGGTATAGGCAGGGAGTTGCTTCGGCGACGTGGCATTTGCTGCACTGAGATTTCCTCGTTAATTCTTCGTAATCTGCAATATATTTCGATATAAGATAATAAATTTATTTAGATGACGGCTATAACATCATGTTTTTAATTAAAATCTATTTAAAAATATCAAATATATTTCAATATATTTT